AGGAAGCCCAAAGGAGACTTAGATCTGTATTAAGCGAGGAAGTCAAAGTCAGACAATATAATTATATTCAAAACCTATGTCCAAATGGCAAAAACCATTCATCTTTGTGGAATGCTAGCAAAGGTATAAATTCGCCCATAGACTCCGATTCTCTAATAAGAAACTCTCTTGGAAACTGGGCGCGAAGTGATGAAGAAAAATCTAATGTTTTTGCTGATTGTCTAAAAGAGGTGTTCCAACCTAATCCTGCAACAGGACAATATGACTTTCCCACTCAAGATCCACCAGCACAATCTATTGACATGAATATCACGGCCAATGATCTTGTTCAAATAATCACAAACAAGTTAGATTGCAAAAAAGCACCGGGATATGATAATATCTCACCCATCATGATAAAAAACTTACCCCTTTTGGCCATACATTTTATCACAAGACTTTTTAATGCCATAATTAAATTTGGCTTTTATCTAACAGAGTGGAAAACATTCATGATTATTATGATTTATAAATCAAGTAAACACCCCACGCTTGCCTCTTCATACAGGCAAATAAGCTTACTGCCATGCCTTTCTAAACTCTATGAAAGGGCACTGCTTTTAAAGCTAAAACCGTTCCTTGACGTTCAAAACTTAATACCGTCCCACCAGTTTGGTTTTAGGGAAAAACATGGAACTATTGAGCAAGTGAATCGTATAAGGAATGAAATAAGACACGCATTTGAGCTCAGAGAATATTGTTCCGCGGTATTCCTCAATGTTAAACAAGCATTTGATAAAGTATGGCATAATGGACTCATATATATGATACGCTGTTCATTACCTGCAAATGTCCACTCAGTTTTAGAATCGTATCTGCATAATAGAAGCTTTAAAGTGAAATGCAAATCATATACTTCTAATAATTTCCCAATAGAAGCTGGCGTTCCACAAGGAAGTGTTCTTGGCCCTATATTGTATGTACTTTACACATCTGATATCCCGATAAGTAGTTCAGTTATCACTACAACGTTTGCCGACGATACGGCAATTTTATGCCGAAACAAAAACGCTGTGCTAGCTTCAAACCAACTTCAATCTCACTTATATCGGGTGGAGAAATGGTTGTCAAAATGGCGAATTAAAATTAACGAAGTAAAATGTAGACACGTCATTTTTACCTTAAATCGGAGTACATCTCCAAAAATTTTACTAAACAACATTCCCATACCACAAGCAGATAATATAACGTACTTAGGTATCCACCTAGACAGACGACTGACTTAGCGCAAACATATTGAAGCTAAAAAAATTCAGATGAAGCTCCAAGCCTCTAAGTTGCATTGGCTTATTAATAGCAGATCTTCCCTGTGCCTAGAGTATAAAGTACTCTTGTATAACAGCATCATAAAACCAGTATGGACTTATGGTATCCAGCTATTTGGCAATGCTAGTGCTTCAAATATTGAAATTATACAAAGAGCTCAGTCAAAAATACTAAGAATTATCACTGGTGCCCCATGGTATATTAGGAATGAAAGTATACACCGAGATCTACAAATTCTCCTAGTTATAGCTGAATTTGACAATATAAGAAAAAAATACAATAAAAGGCTGACAGAGCATGTTAATCCCTTAGCAAGAAATCTCGCACTTCTATCCATTACTTCCCGCCTAAAAAGAGCTGACCGTCCAGCCGTTAATTAATATTCAACAGCTCGAAGTAAAAACCGCACCTTTCTTTTTAGTAATCTGTTAAAGTTTAACCACTTTCTTAAGAAACCACCTAACATTCACTCCAATGAAATTTAATCCATTAATCTAAATGAGGTTCGTGATATAAGGTTTACTTATTTTTTTTTTTTTTATAAAATGTATAGTTAAAATAAAAATTTGTAACATTATGTAATTAGTTATAAGATTTTACAACTTATTGTTAGTCTCATTTTAAGAGAAGATGCAATAAATAAATGTATGTTTAAAAAAAAAAAAAAAAAAAAAATGTATACGTAACCACTAAAAATCAATAGCATATAATAAGCGGTTATTATGGTAAAAGTCTGTAGTACGTGAATGTATAATATATATGAATATGTTTGATAAGTATGCACAAAATTTGTACTTCATTTAATTAAAAACTTATTTTTATGTATAATGAGTTAATATAAAGATATACTTACTTAAATTGATACTACACCAATGAAATTTTAATAACTGCATTGGGAATAAGCCTCGCTGAAGAGGGGGTGTTTTAGTCCGTATACTACATATTAATGTTAGGGAGTCGGGCACACCATTCCGACGACGGTCGGTTTGACGGTGCATAAAGCATTCCACCTCCTCATTGCATTTATTCTTAGGAAACTTTACATTTTGTTAACATTTAAGTACAATTTATAAAAGATATACAAAAAAAAACTTATGTTAATGAAATTAAGATTTGGTCGTTTCCATTGGTAAAAGCTGATTAATACATGTTGAATTAGCTTGTTTGTTTATATTTGACGTATAAAAAATATCAAAAAATATTTTAAATTTAGATAATTCCTCTTAGGGAAATTTATTTTAAGGGTTACATTTTTCGCCTTGATTTATTTATAATGAGCTTATTTATATGAAAGCTCTTTGTATCGTAAATTATCCTCATTAGCGGCGTTAATGAGCAACAGAGACAAGTGGAAACATGGTAATATTTATATAAATTAATATAAAAACTCACATTTCAAGTTATACCATGTTTTTAATTTCGTATGTGAAGTATACTATTCCAAATAAATAGTTAATTATGTTTTTCAAGTTATTTTTAACACTGTGAACGAGATGCCATTTATAATCAAACCGTATAGATGTATATATGTATATTTATGTGTTTATTCTCGACAAAACAAACTGTCCACATATCAACAACTTATTTACTAACTAATAGAGCTATTCAAATAAAAGTTTGCACAGAAATTTTCTGAGTCTAGTAAATAAAGTTTGAATGTATAGAAAATTTTTGGATTAATGCGTAAACAAGTGGCCATATTAAATAACTTCCGCAAAATATGTATATGTTTTTGACTAGTGGTTCAAAAACAAATTTGAGAATATAATTAAAATTAATGTAGTAAGAAAATAGTGGTTATAAATAATATAGTTAAATACGAAAGATGGCGCAACTTAACTCAATTTAAAGTTGACTCTTTCATTGGTTACTTTAATAAATATGAGTCAAGTCTTACGATGTCCTTTAACTAAATTTCCAACAACTTAAAACGAAAATTTCTCTATAAATATATTATATCATTAGCAATCGCTTAAGTTATATGGTAAGGGACACATGTCAAGTGGTGATGACATTTCGTTTACTACAAGCACAATCTTTGGAGAAGTACTTGTTGAAAATCAAAACACTTCTTCATATATACCATAGCAGTCAGTTAGTTTCATACGTCATGGTGTTATTAGTAATATATTTCCATAAGTTAAATAAAATACAAAAAAAGAAATCAGAAGCAAATCACTTTTCAATTTAGAATTCATATATAAATATCTGTAAATATATGAATTACTGACACATATCGTGTTAAAAATATTTACTATATACTTTCAAATATTCGAGCGTTGCGATGTTCGAGCAGAAATTCGAAAATGTTTGAATATGGTACAGTACCAAATTTTCGAACATAATTCGCTGTTCACACATTTTCGAGCAAATCGCTTAGACGTATTTGAACATAGTTCGAGTTTCGAATAGCTCATATTATACCATATAAAGATTTAGTATGTACCTATAACTAATTTGAGATATACTTATGTGAAGCATCGTATGTGAAACATATAAGATAAACATTTTATGTAATAAATGATAATCGTCATTCCATTCAGAACAATTTCTATACGAGGCTATATATAGAGAAAAATAATTTGGAATTCTTAAACTTAACAGGAACGTGTCGGGAGACGCATCGCGAAGAATCAATCTTTGACTACTTTTTCAATTATTTTAATATCTCATGAATAATGCACTCCATATTGGCTACTAAAATTGATATAATTTTTGGCTTGTTTAACTAACATGAGGTCTTGAAACAACGTTATAGAAAATATTTTAGCGACATCATATCACAGAATTTTGAGGATTATCACAGGATTACAAACCAATGTGTTATTAGTTATATTTAATACAAGAAATGCAAAGAAAAAGTTGTTTGTTTATATATGTATTCAGTATAGTTTCTTCCCTTACCATAGCTTGGTGATATTACTTGCAAAAATTACACTCTGATTAAAACACATATATTTTTAGAAGATACAAATAAGGACAGTTCTAAAACAAAGACGAGGCAACTTTAACTCATCTGAATTCTATTATAAAATATATTAGCATTCCCAGAAGAAGTCATGATCTGTTGCATAGAAAATTCAATGTTCTTTATTCATACATCAAAACTAGTCCAGAAGATTGATGTCTTGAAAAGTTCACAACACATATACCTCACGCTGCAGCAAAATAAATTTATATTATATATAAAATATAAAATAAATAATTACACCAACGTGTTAAATGCCATTTAAAAAATGAAGGAAGAAAATTATATGATCTATATATAATATAAAACTGTTTTTAAATATTTTCGGTTCCTTTCAAAATTTTCAAAATTTCAGTAAATAAATAAAGAAAAACTTGAAGTCAACTTTCAACAAACTGAAATAAATTATAATAAATATGTTACCGCAAAACAATCAAATTCTATCTGTTAAAGAAGAAGCATTGGCAATGCACCAAGGTAACTTGACCCCCAAGGTTGAACCCTAATTCTGTATAAATAATAAACAGTTTTAAAATAATTTTACAGCGGTTCATGCAATAGGCGGTGAAGCGATAATTGTAACGACACAAGACTTTCGCACTGTTATTGATAGCCGAAATATAAGCTATAGCAAGGTTTTACCTAACGGTAAGAAATACATTAGCACCGATCTATTGTTAATATTTCTAAAATATTTTAACCTCGCTTTAACCTTGTTTCTAATATTTTTTGTTGGAATTTGAGTTCATTTAGTATAACTCTTTTCTAGGCCAAAAGGTTCAATTGGAAAATCAGTTACTTACACCAAATATTCATGTTGGAAATGCAGTTAATCCGAACGCACTATCACAACAGCTTCTTAATCATAACTCCATAAACCCGAATACAGTACTTAATGTTACACCAATCGGTCTTACACAGCTGAATGCTATGAAAACAACAATACCTCAATTGTTAGGAAATGCAAACCAGTTAGGAAATGTTAAATCATTGGTATTTCTATTTGTTTAAAAATTACATTTCACGATCTGTATTTTGATATTAACTTTTTTTATTATATCTAGTTCCCTACAAATTTCTCAAAAGGAACGAATACAGGATTTTGAGCTGTGAGAAAAAAAATATAATTGAATCATTTTTAGAAAAGTAGAGTCATCAAAAAAATGAAATAGATTTATCAGTTAAAACCTGTTAGTATGCGAATTAATCAATTATAAAACAATTAATTGTTACAATTATAATCACTTTTCATAAATCGAAAAATGAAACTTCGAAAAAAACTCTCCACATTATTTACTAACGCAAATCTGACATTAAGAAAGTTCTCAAAACAATGAAGCCGTACTGGCGCGCAATGGGGTAGTAAAAAGCTATGTCAGTTACCATATTTTTTGGATATTCATAAACTTATCAGTATCTGCAAATCGGTACCATATTTTTTGGGTATTCATATACTAAGCAGTACCTACAAATGTATAATACCATATATCATATTTTCTCAAAAATACAATCTGATTAGCCAAAAGATATCACACACTGTGAATAAAGCAGGCTAGTCATCTAATGATCTAGCTAGAACTAAACAATGAATTGACTTGAGTAGAACCAAATAGTATTATCTGCTTTGTAACTACCTACATTGTGACCGAAAAGTTTCCGGGAAATTTTAAATAAAACGCAAAATTTTTAATCTTCATCAATATTTATTTTATCTCCTTCAAAATATGCTCCATTAGAAGCGATACACAAATGCCAACGTTTCTTCCAATCATCAAAACATTTTTTATAGGCGCTTTCCGGTATGGCTTTGAGTTCCCTCTGCGAATTCTGTTTTACGTCTTCTATGGATTCAAAACGCGTTCCTCTGAGTGGTAATTTGAGGTTGGGAAACAGGAAAAAGTCACACGGTGCAAGATCAGGTGAATACGGTGGCTGTTCGATGGTATTTATTGAATGTTTGGCCTTAAAATCGTTGATAATGTTGAACAAATTGAGGTGAATCGGAACAAGCCGGGCGTTGACACGTCGCATACACAAATTGTCCACCAAAATCAAACGAGCCATCTCACGACCGATGCCTAGCTCTCGTGCTATCTCTCTAACACTCACATGAGGATTTTTGAACACGATTTCCTTTGCCTTTTCAATGTTTTCGTCGGTGGTAGAGGTCGAAGGTCGTCCAGAACGCGGCATGTCTTCGACGGTCGTACGACAGTCCTGAAAGGCTTTGTACCACTCATAAACTTGAGTTTTCGATAAAACTGATTCCCCATAAGCCTTTTGTAGCATTCGCAACGATTCTGCACACGAAATTTCGTTCGAAAAACAAAATTTGATGCAAACTCTTTGTTCAATATTTTTTTCCATTGTTTTTTTCGCAACGCACTACTGAGGTGAACTGGTTTCAACAGCTGCCGTAAACGAACTGTCCGACAGATCGCGCTCATTTTTGGCATAGTAATTAAGGACAGTGCTGCCAAACTACATAAACTTAAAATATCGAAAAATATACAGCGCGCGAATTTTAAATGAGAATTTCCGAAAGCTTTTCGGTCACAATGTATTACCTAATAGGTAGTCACACACAGAAACTTTAATTTCTAAGTAAAGATCTTTGCAGCCCCTGGAAAATACCAAGCCTTTGGAAAATTGTTTTTCGATGACTCCGAATAATTATTAGACCAAGAAAAATTAATTTAGTAAGGTCGATAGAACTTGTATCATAAATACATATATATAACCCTCATTACGCAAGATCCATAGGCATACAACATTGATTGACATACAGATTCATTCGTAAACCTAACCTAAACGAAGTTAATTTTAATTTAAAATCTTACTTTCTGAAGCCGCACCCAGAAAAAATATGCTCTAACCACATACCAGTTAAGTTATCTCATGTGGTAAAGAAAATATGGAAACCAACATGTGGTATGGTTGAACCAATATGATGCGTAAAGTAGAAATATTTTGACCTGAGATTTAGTTAAAATTTGGTTAAATTAATCAAATTTTTTTTCTGAGTGTATTTAGTTTTTTATTTTTCGCTATAATAATATTTAAAGTTAACACTTTTTGCAGTTAGTTAAATATTAGAGATTGAATATTGAAGATCGTTAAATCCTTTAACATTCTATAAATTTACTATAAAAATTGTACTTTTGAGTTAACTCTTTTTTATCTAAAGGAAAGCATACTAGCGTTTTATCCGTTCCACAAGCCAATCTTGGAAATGCACCACTTAACACTTAGCAGACTGACAGCAAACACAAATTTCCAGTTAACTTCATGTCGGCAATAAAATAGGAAAGACTGAAAGTAGGACGTGATTCGAAAATATGTCAATGTCATGTGGAGCGTTTTTCCTTTGAGAATTAAGTATGGCCAGTATACGTGTGCAAATAGTATTGCATGCGAAATTCAAAAGTTGGAAAAATAAGATAAATTGAAAACATCCTTTTCATATATTTCAATAATAAAATTATGCGCGCATTGTCAGTAGTATATTTCTACGAATTTCGACAGTAGATACAAAATATAGATATGCGATTTCTGCAAATGAACAGCACTTAATTGTCTTCTACGGGGCTAAATATGTGTGATTAAATATTAATTGTAATAAAAAAATAGTTGAATAAAAAGCAATTAGATTAAAAAAAGAAATTTTAGTTTTTGTACTGACCATATCGCTATTTTCGTTACCACCAAGCATCCATAACATATATTTCAAATATAACCATTTTTTTCGCCACTAAACTCTTTATGTTTTAACCACAATTGTCAATGCTTGGACCTTGTATCAAGAAATTGTTTCAAAATGAAAAAAAAGAGTCATTCATTTTTCTATTATGTGCAATACGGATCTCTGTCCTTTCAAACAAGGAAAACGGTATGTGCCATCGAAATGTTCATCCGTACCATAAGTACTCTATAGTTGATTTGTTGGTTTATTTATATGTATTTAGTTTTTAGTTTGCAAATGTCTGGAATCGATTCTTGTTACAAAAAATTTAAATGTGTCCTAAGAAAATTCTTCAGAGCATAAATTATTTCAATTAAAGTCCAATTAAGAACGCTGTTAAGACAATGGAAGAATGGGTGAATCTTTCAGTTTAAATTTTTATTTCAAAATAATATAATATTGCGAGAACGTGAAATTTCTATATCATATGTTTTAAACAATTTTTATAATTCATTGTCTTTCCTTTCATAACAAAAGAAAATAAAAATTTCTCCAGATAATAAAAAATAAGATAAGAAATAGGTCGGATAAGAAATAGATCTAATAAGAAATAGGTTTTCTAAGTACTTATGTATTCAAATATTACGATATCTTGAGAAGAATGTGTAAGGTCTAGCTAACACTACAACTGTTTAGGTGTCATACTTTATTCTACTGCTATGTAGGAAGGAAGAAAAAGAAATCAATTATCTACTTTTCCATTATCATACTCTTGTCAATGTGCGTTTCTTCATTTCAATATGTCTCTTTCTTAAATTGAAATGCAGTATGACTGATACAGCATTTTAAAGGTATTGTCAGTTTTTTTCAGTTTCAGTTAAATCACAATTAAGTTTTCTAGTCAGAAGAGATACGTTCGCTATTCCGGTAGATCCATTGGATCTATACATACAATAGACCTGTATAAAGAGCCTGTATGAGTAACGTCTTTCAAGTTGGGATTCAATTGCTTTTTACTATTTTCCATATGTGTGTACATAATATTCGAAAGCAGAATCGGTTTAAGTCTAAAAACTATGCAATGAATTTTAGTTTGCATATACCAGGATTTTCCCAGGATTTTAGTTAGTTTTAAAATAGAACCCATAGTCGCTAGTAGCAAATTTTTTATCTTAAGTACATTGTTTTTTCTTTTTTTGGATATTGTTTTTTTCTTTGTGGTTGATGAGGTTATGATTGTAATTTTGTAGAATTCCTTAGGCATCGTCAAGTCGACCGTCATGAGAATGATGTGCTCGATTCTAGTTGTCTATATAGACTTAAACATATGGTTTTCATTTATTTTATAAAGGAAATACTAAACATAAGTTGTTAAATAAGAAGTTATAGTAAAAGTATTTTTTAGCGATTCTGTTTCAATTTATTTAATAAATATGTGTTATCTCACTTAGGGATACTTTCTCAAATTTCTTCGTGCTACGCACGTTGTATGTGATAACCTGCAAAGGTTTTGGGTTAAAGTTTATAATTTTCTATTTAGGCAGTTTTCATTAATTACACTCGGTTAAGCGCAGTAAACAGAATAATATTTTGCATTAAACGGATTAAAATTTAAGTAAAAAAAAAATTAAAACATTACACAAAGCTCGTGTGTGTTGCAACTGTTTTAAGTTTGTTCTGCTAAGTTGTGAAATAAAATTGTTGGGTACTTTCCAGATGTAATTTAATTAAAAAGTATAATATTTAACCAAGGGTAAACAATTTTTTAATGAAATTAAATTGGCAAATTATTTGACACTCAAAGAATTTTCGCCATAATTTTAAAATGAAATTTTGGTTTTAGAGTGGAATTCATTTTATTAATAATATTAAAAATATTAATAATATTATTAATAATATTATTCCCTTCTATTCAGTATGAGCATCACTATGTTATATACATATGTTATGTATGCATAAAGAACAAATAACAAATTTACAACAACAACGACGCCTTTTTATTATTTATAGAAATATATTTAGAAGTAATAATGCAAATGCAAAAGATATACATAAAGAACAAATTTACAACAACAATATTGTTTTATTTTCTATAAGAATTTTGTTTAATAGTAGTGATGCAAATGATTCAAATAACAAATTTACAACAACAACGATGTAGTCTTGTTTTCTGTAGGAGTTTGTGTAAAAGCAATGATGTAAATGTAAAAGTTACGCCTAAGGAACAAATAACAAATTTAAAACAACAACTATGCTGTTTTATTTTCTATAGTTGTTTGTTTAAATGATCACTGTTGAAGTGGTCACTGTTGAAGTGAATTATTGTATTTTAAAGGATTTGTAATTTATTATTAATTTGTGTGAAAATTATATCAACTAGAATGTAATTCTAATCCCTCTTAGCTATGAAAATATTTAATTTGAAGGATTACTTAAGTTAATAACACCAAACATTTTGTTATTATTCGTTTACATTTTTAATGTTATATTTTAAAGTCTTATTATTGCTTTAAAAATCCGTCATTTTTATTATTAAAACATTTGATATCACAACCGACCATCTAGTCTAAGTGTTCGACTGCCAACTCAGAAAGTCGACTGTCATGTTCATCTACTAGCTAATATTGGCCGTGTGCGAGTTCGACTAAATTGATGATAAATTGAAGGAAATAATAAATTATGTCGGTATGACAGCGAATTTTGGTATTTACTAGGATTTCGAGTAGAATAAATTAGATAAAAACTAGGTAAATTAGATATTTCTCTTGTGAAAATTTTACAAAATGTTTAATAAATAAATATATTTAAATAAATAAATAAATAAATATGAAAATTTTTAACAGAAAAATAATAAATAAGTGCAATAAATAAGTGTAAATAAGTGCAGTGCAAAAAATCGCTAGGAATTTTCAATTTACTTTACCTCAATTTACTCGAATCCGCACACGGCCATTATAACAAATTTTTCATACAGAATTTATTAAATTCTATAATTTTTCAGCATTTTTTTTTTCATTATTATTTTCGGATTAAAAAATAGAACCGGTCCTTTATTTAAAAAGGATTATGTACTTTTCACCACAATTAAAATTAATGTTAATGCTAGAGTTTCTAGCTTAGGTAACGTTTTGTAAATTCTCATCATGGACGACTTACCTGATTAAAGTGTTTAAAGCTTAAATATTTTATTATGATTTTTGAACAAATTAACATAAAGCAATTTATTTCCACATTATAAAAAAAATATATTTTTTCTGTGACGGTCTGGTATCCTTAATATTTGTATGGACATAACATGTGATGATTTTGTCACTTCGTCTCTTTTCACTGAAATACAACAAATCATAATAACACAAAACTCACAAAAGGATATAGATTTTTCATACCATTTTGGTAAAAAATTTCACTTCTATTTGTGGGTAAATCTGTGAACTTAAGCGTAAACTCATTGTCTACGTTGCCTACGAATTAATTTTGCTAACAATGCAGTTGCCAAGTGGAAAACCACACACGGCTTTGATTAAGGATAATTACCTTTTGCTTTGTTTGAGGAAAATTTAATTCATATTGATTGGGGTTTCTTTGATTTGAGTAAAGAATTAAGTTATAGAAATTGATTAATACCAGCTCTGAAGTACGAGATTCGCACTCGTATATCACAAACATATTTTCAAATTATTATTTTGCTGGCAGCAAATGTGTTTCGTCTAAAAAGAATTTTTGAAAAATTAAAAAGCGATTCCTTTGAGTTATGCACGTACAAACATAAAAATAACGTATTAAAGCCATTTATGTGATAAATCGGCTGATTGCTCTTCTTGTACGAGAAGTAACATTATGTTAGGCTTGGAATGTGTAATAAAAAGTTTAAAATAATTTGAAATTTTTTCGTGATTAATATGCCACATATTTTGTCTGCTAATAAATGAAAATTGCCTTATCTTTAATCATAAATTCCAAAAACGAACTATGAAAGTTTTATGACCTCATATCTTGGGTTATCGACTGTGGAGAAAAAATGAGTAAAACCTAAGAAACCAAAGAAAATATTTTTAATTTTCCATATTCGTTTTATTACACAGCAAATTAGTTTCTTTTTTTTCTCCTCTTATTGGGTGAAAAGTTATTTAACCTTTAAGTCCTTGAAGAGTTATTAAGGCAAAGTAACCACAAATTATTTTTTGAAAACAGCTATGAGTGATTATTACTAGCAACAGTCATTTGCCTTTTGATATTATGCCCTAGGACAATTTTAATACCATCTTATTGAATTAATAAGCAAATAACAGACAAATAGGAAAAGAATTTACTTGAATGTACGAGAATAATTTTTTAAAAATAAATAAGTTATTTAACGAAATAGGAACCATAACTGGAAAATAAAAAAATTAAAAATGATTAAGCTTAGTTATAAATATCTTGGGATCTTAAATACTTAATTTAACTAGCTTGTTAGTAGACTGGTCAGTTTATAAGTAATTGAACCTAGACTAGATACATGTGGAGGACGTAAAAATATAACAAAAATTATCGCAAATATATAATGCTAGATCCCATCAAAAAATACATAAAGGATAGAGCCCTGAAATTATATGCGAAAACTGACAGACTTACCAACACCGCGTTATCAAATCTCAAAATGGTTACAGGCTCCTCGGGGAGGTATGCAGATCTGAGGTCAATTGCTTAGTCTGATGAAGTGATAAACAATAATTTAGTCAAGGTGTAAAGAGGAGTTTTAAAAATACCTCGACTTAAAAAAGAGTATAAGTGCTTAAGTGCACTAGGTCAAAACAGCTTTAACATAATTAATTAATGCTAGAAGAGTATTCTGATTATTATTCTGAAAATTCTTCTGAAAATTCTGAGTATTTCATTTGACATTTTAAATAATATTTTATATTAAGTCTTGAATGTTTAATAG